GGTTAACGACGGCCTGTCAGATCATCGAAAGTGGTAATGGGGCGTTGTACAACAATTGTCCTCACTTTCCATACGAACGCAATATGTCATTATTCAATTGTTGCTATCTTGCAAAAACATGAAAGAAAATTCTCATACTGTTTGCTCAATGAAGCAGCAACTATTGTCTTACAAACATACAGTGATTTTCCCCGAGAGAGTGAAAATGTGACTGGTCCACTTACCCACCAGCAATGTCCTATAGCGCAATAAAGATGCACGATTGCGACGTTTATCTTGCCCAGTCACCGGTTGCCCATGCAATCTTTCTTCTCATCCCGATAAAATGATTACGTCTACGAAGCAGACATCTCATGACGATATCAAATCACTGTTATTTTAAACCAATTTCGAAACTGCTTAAATCCCTCTTCGTTTTGAACTTGTTAGATGATTTCCTCTATGTTTATGTTTTAAATGTTAACAAATCTCCATGTTTTAAATGAGCTCTCTTGCTTGATTTTCTGCTGTTGAAACTGTCCAATTTATTGACGATCATCTTCTATGAAAACCTCTCCCGCCAACCTATAAAATTTTCGAATTAAAATTTGTCTATAAGCAGGAATTGTTAGTTATTTCGTTCGCATATTGTTTTATAATGCAAATATGTTGGATTGGTAGTATGTTTACTTGACTGAACACTGAACGTTCAAGATAGTCTTGCTTTTATTCGTTCATTACTCACTAACAGGTCGATTCCTCCATAGTTGAAGTCGATTGAATCCATTCGAAATAAATCATTACTCGATTAAACGCTTTGACAGTGTTACATCTGATGAGATGTTCAAATTCAGAAAATTTGTTTTCGATTCGCATCTGAATGCCTCGTAGCAGCTTGAAGAAGAGCGATAGCCCTATCCGTCCGAAGCATGTCACTACAATCGGTTCTACAATGACTCCGGATCGAACGTAAAATATATAATTCTTCTCTTTTTTTTGCAACCCATCAATACTGTTGATTTGCAATACATTCTGTCGTGTGGATATCGACGATTTTTATTTCAGAATCAATGCAACATTTTGTCATAATCTTGTATATTGCTCAGAAAATATATTCAGCTGAATCTAATTTTGAGTTCGGAAAATGAAAGAAAGTCAAAAGGGCCAAACTTAGAGAAGAGTTGTTGTTGCATCAAAAGTTTTAATTTTTCCTCTTATATAATATCGCACTTAGTCTGATAATTTGAAACAAATTCTATGATCTAAAACTTTACCACATAAAGAGATCACCGAATCCATCTTTATTCCGTCGACAACCTGATCATATTGCATTCGACTGAAAGTTGGTCGTTATACTGTAAATAGTTTTCAGAACATACTTCACAAATTTCAACTTATTGAACAAGACACAAAGCGAGCTGTATAAAAATTCCTCGTGTTTGTTTGACGGAATGTATTTGCTACTATAAAGTCATCCGATCATCCAGAAACATTTCAGTGATTCTTCATAAAACCCAAAATATCCCTGAAATTTTAATGTCTCAGCAGAACAAACGGTTTCTCATAGGAACAATGCAACTGCTGTCAACTGATTAAATCATTACATGACTCTGCCCTACAGCATTCAGCGTTAGCTTGTCATATATGAAGATATCACCTTCATTATTTATAAAATGAGTTCGTTATAAGGCCTCATTATAAATTTCACAGCTAGAATTTGTCACCTTTCACATATGCATAAGAGTAATTTATAGTTTCCTTTATTTTCTGCTTTCATCCATCACCTTCTTCGTCACGAATTAAAATCAAGTGATCACTAGATATATTTGCACTCAAGTCAAATCAGTCATTATCCCAAATACCCAATACTAGATGTCTTCTTAACGATGAATTCCATAATAATATGGCAGTAAGTGTCATCTGTAACTCTGTAATGTTATTGTCAAAAATGATTAAGGCCGAGTGCTCGACAGTTACTTCAAAAGCTGGAGAAGCAAGAAGAGGAACATCAGAAGCAGTTTCAAGAGATGCGTTCATTTTATGAAGAGAAACTGATTCGTTATGATGCGATGCAAGTTCGTTATATGTAAGTTCGATGTTCAGTGTCATGCAGCATATATTGCGAGCGTATCGTTGCATTCACAAATAATGAAACTATTCACTGAATTAGATTATTATTATTCAAGTAAATAGTATATTCTTTCGAGCAGCATAAACGCTGAAATAGCAAACAAACAAGGTCATTCAATCGCATCCGGCTCGTGGACATTTTACATGAATATCGTTACCTCTGTTTGCGGTTAATTTCCAGTTAGGTTTACTGTTTCGTGGTTAAAACATCCTTTGCACGATGTGTTCGTTGCGTTGTGGAGATGAGACGAAGCGCATCTCAACCTTTTATTATGAATAATCAGTAGATTGATGAAACATGAATCGGCGAATTCGAAACAACATGATCAACACCGAACGACTTTTGTTCGGCTACTTGCAGAATTTGGTATCGGGTTGCAATAGCTTTGAAAGAAATATTATATGAGCTGAACCTTTCGTTTATAAACAACAATCCCCTTTGATAAGAAAATGAATTAGTTACACCTTTCACATTATACGATTGTGATAAGTAGAAGTACGATACATTTCGGAATTCAACATGCAAATGTTACTTCTGCTATTATACTTATGGAGACTGAATATTTTCAAGATTGATTATAATTTGATACAATTAACGAAGTTATGACTGATTTTTGAAATAAACAATAAAGCATCGAATGAGCGGGCGATATGTGAACCTTTCAGAGTTGCGAGGTTCATCGCAACATGTGGCATAGCACGCACAATAACCACTGACTAAAATTTCGATTAGCGCTCAAAACTCCAACAAAAAATGAAATAAACAAACAAACGTAAAACCAGAAAAACGATAGCGACTTTGGAACTTTTCATTTTAGAGTTGAACGAATGAAGACAGTGATGACCGATGTCGTTACAATTACATTTCAGGGCTGCTCGAGAGCAACAGGAGTCGTTGATTAACCGAATAAAGAAACTGGAAAAAGATTTAGATGCCATAAAAGATAAGAAAGAAAAAGCTGAAGCAGAATTGATGAAGGAGAAATCTAACAGGTAAGGTAAAAGAAACTGAAATAAAGGATATGAAAACTCTTGCAGTCACTATTGATTTAATGTTCATTCAAAAATATCGGGTCTGTTTTGACGGTTATTATCGTAGTGTGACCTTTTGACTGAATTATCGCCTGAAATATTTCGTTCGGACTGGATCACTTTCAAATCTTCAGCAGTTCCAACGAATCGGTCATTTTAGAAAATCGGTTCTCTCAACAACCACGAAAACAAACGAATTGATGGATGTATCCGAAGCAGCAAAATGGATCGAAAAAGACAAAGAGTGTGTTACCACCAACTGATACCTTTGAGCAACTGTTCACTTTAAACGATCGATCATGTGTTCCCAAATGCTGTGTTGCGATTTGGATACTTCTTTTTGAAATTTCAGTCCTATTCAGTCTCATCTTTTTGTTTTTTGAGAGTGTAAAATTCTGCTTTTCCTACTAATCGGTCAGATGGGTCTTTCTCTAGCAGTGAATAACGGAAACACGTTCACTGAAATGAAAATGATCAAAGCCTTCAAAACAATCTTGTTCAAATGCCTTAATTTGTAATGATTACTGAAACAGTTTCCTTCTTTGGGGCAACTGAAAAATATTTTATCAAGTCCGAATATTTCAAAGATCTGTCACCACTCGCCCGGCCAGTGTAACTGCTGTCAAATTATATTCCACTTAATAGCAACAATCTTCAGTGTTTTTCTGTGTAGCTTTAAAAAGATGTTACTGAAGGCTTCAACAAATGAACGAACAATTCGCTGGTTTACAAAAAGATCTGACGACGGCAAATCAGTTGATTCACATATGGGAAACAACATCCGATGATCTTGAAAAGCGTGTTGATTCGTTGACGTACGTCCGATTACTGTCATATTTCAGCAACGAAACTCAGTTCAAAAAATCCAACCTTTATCATGTTGTCATTCATTAATCACATTTATGCTTGAAATTTCGCCTGCGATGAAAAGTTTGTTGTAACTTTACACAAGCGCACAATTTCTGATTGCCGTACATCAAATGCGTTCGATGTATTCACAACTGGAAACATTCTAATAAATATTGTTCATCTGTAATAGTGTTGATCACCAATATTCACCCTAGCCGATATTACTAATTCAGTAATTGAATTTCAGGCATTTCGCTGAACGAATACTGTCAGTCAAGAAGAAAACGCCGAAAGTGAAAGCGGATTCCTCTAAGAATCACCCTACAGGAACGGATGTTGATATGATGTTAGTATAAATTGTATTTTCAAAAATTCATTTCATTTATTCATCGCAATCGTAAGTGTTCAGCGTTGACAGTTCATGTTATAAAAACTAACGTTAGTTTCTTACTGATTTTTGAATTTCACATTTTTGAATGTGAAGTCAACGATTTATCATCAAAGACGTTTTGAATATCATTTAATTTTATGATCATCTGATCGTGATCATCTCTTTTCTCTGATCGTGATTTTATTCCTAATAATTTGTTACCACCTCTTTTCTCGCATTGTAATTGTGCATGAAGGACGCAAGACTTGTTACAATGAATATCATTAATGATGAACCCTATTAAAAAGTGCTGACATGATAGAAATAGGTGCAGTTTACTCCATCAGTTCCCTTCACTCTTATAATTAATCCCTCTTGAAAAATAAGTTAACTTATCGGCTATGAACGCATATCGATCTTTTAATCTCCATACAATTTCTGTGCACGTTGAAAGAATCGCTTTCATCTTATATCGTCTGCAAGGTTTTTTGCATAATTTTTTTCATGATTTCAGATCAAGTGACAGTTCATCTTCATCATCAGATAGCGATACTGCAGAAACGGTTGTTATTATCGATAATGAAGATGACAGCGATGAAGAAAACAAAGAAAATGAGCGTAATGCTCAGAACGATCAATCGACTGAGTGAGATCTTTTTGTACGAGTAGAGAATAAGCAGTCTCAAGACTTCTGTTCCGAATGTAATGTTCCATCTAGACGTCACATACAGTGTGCAACTAATAAATAAACAATTATTAGGCGGATTTGATAAGCGCTGACAATTGTTCACACTAATTTGACTCCAGGTAAATGGTGTGATTTTCATTTCAGAGAAACTCAAATTAATTTGCTCCGGAAAAGAAAGAAAACAGTCGAGAATAAACTCAAACAACTCACTTCGTTGATCAAAAATATGCAAAAGAACATGTCCGTTGCAAAATCTCAACTGAAGATGAAACTCTCCACTGTAGTTACTCTTCAGCAAGACATTAAAAGATTGCAAATAGCAAATAATGCACTTAAAGGTACGTATGTTTTTACGTTTTCGTGAGTCTGTTTGTACGAATCAAAAAATTACTTTACTATTCTTTGCGTGAGTGATTTCCCTATTAGGTTATTTGTTCTCAAAACGCCGTCGTTTGTTCTCGAAACTCCTGAATTCGTCTTCTGTGTGGAAATCGATTGGTCTGAAAAAGATTTCTATTTAATGAAGTCGTCATTCCCAGTAAGACCTCAAAATCATTCTTATAAAAGCATGACTCAATTGCAGTCGCCCTAACAATAGTCCAAAGAGTCATTTACATCTGTATTCCAGATTTTTTATTATAAGTTAAATATAACTGAGCACTATATGAATTGCATGATAAATTCATAAGCAAACGTTATATAATAAGTTCGATTGAGTAGTGATAAACAAGAATAATGATTTGTTCAGAGAAATGCGAGCAACTTGAAAAGGATACAACGAAGAAAGGAGGCGATGAAATGAAAAAACTTGTTGAGCGATTGCACGATTTGGAATCTATTTCGCAGAATGCCCTCAAATCAGTCGAATCATCCGCCAGTGCACTTTCTCGGATCGATAATCAAAGAAGTGAATACAGACAAATATTCAATACGTCAATCGAAGATATCGATCAGTTATGTCTCATCCTCAAAGAGTACTTGCATAGCAAAAGTCAGTCATCGACTGTTCACACCAATGGTGACACTGAAATGGAAACGGAGCACTGCACTGCTCTAACAAATTCAACAACATTGAATGAGATTCAGAAGGCTAGCGAACCATCCGATATGTCAAACGCGATATCATCACAGAAGCCGTCCAGTAGTTCAGGGGATCCTTCGAGTCAAACAAATAAATCCTCGATCGTTACTACTGATCAGCAAACCACCACCATATCCGAGAGTGCAGAAGCGATAAGCCCTAGTGATGCGATAGGTAATAATGCTCTTAAAGAAGATAAGTTGAGCAATAAAAGTTGCATCAATTCATTAAATCTGTCTGATTGTAGCATCTTAACACTCAGCAGAACGAGTTTCCTTGAAATGGTGAGTCTTGTCCGTTTTGTTTAAATCAACGTTTCGACGTTTTTATTGTCGATACGTTTATGTCATTGAGAACATGTATGTACGGTGTTTTTCATCGGAAAATCAAGGCCGATTATGCTCGAATGTCAGCCATTTCCGTGAGAATCATTGCTAGGGAGTTTTACTTCTCTGGAAAATCGGTTGAGAAGGTGTAGAGAGTACCGAGTTGAAAACAAGATATTTTTGTTGAAAGGTGGAACGAAAAGTGGGAGCTGTGGAAAATGATTATAAAAGAGGGTTACAGAGAGAGAAAAAGGGGCGATATTTTAAGTATTATGAATAAATTTTGCAGTTTGTTCATAAATGCAGATTTTCTTTTTTTTTAAATCACCCAAAATAGTGTAGTATTGTTGGCTATATGCAGTATTTCAAATGCTAATCATGTTTGTCGACTTTCACATTACTGAATGCAATCAATCAATCATTTCAGGAGGATTCCCCGGGATCAGATGCATGCAAAACATCTCATCAAATGGAGCAAACGACCACTTCATCGGTGACATCTGAAGGCGCACCACCATCCAAAATAACGCAATCACAATGGCTTTGTGCAAAGAGAACCACCAATCTTCATTAGCGCTCGTTGTCCACGTCAATTGATTAAATTGAACATCAATATTTTGATGTCTTTATCGTATCAAATTCAACCGGTGTAGGTAATTCGTTGAGCAGTACGAAAATGTTAGCGTTGTGATGGAATCATAACGACCTGACAACGGACGAGAGTGAGGTTGTTCTTTTTAAAGTACAGGTGAGGGTGCGTATGAGATCCGATCGATTCATAAATGACACATGCAGTACAAGGAACATACTGTTGAGGAGCAAACGATTACATTAATTGATTACATCTCCATGGAGAAATTTTTAGGCAGCAAACGTAAATGTCATTTTCTGCTACAGTCTGTATTGCTCAGGTTATGACAGTGAAGTGTATTTTTTGTGGTTAAGCACCAAATTTTCTTCAATTATTATAAATCGATACGGTCCATCAATGGCCTTTCCGTCAAAAAAAAAACTTCTAGGGCTTTCCGTGCACATAAAGAATGTCGTATTTGGTGCAGTAATTTTTTGTTGTATTTTGCGGGTATTTGAATTTATATCGTTTCACTTGTTTTGTTTGTATTTGGTACGTTCATATCTTTATGTATTTAACTAACAATACAAATTTTCACTTGAAACGCCAAAACTGCAGACGAATATTATTTCGGAATTGGTAAATAAGGGGGTAAATATTGTTGAGATTAGGTGCTTCGAGTTTGTGTAAGAATATTTTTCATTCCTCAGCAATCACCCGGAAACAATTACTATTAAGACTGCAAATGTTTAAGGCATCCATCTCATTATTACGAAGACGTTTCGTTCCGTTCGAGTGGACATAATTACTTGATTTCATCTCAACCGTTGTAAAGTTGTTCGTGATTCTTTCATGAGTATCGATGTTTCAAGGTAATGACTGCTGCTAGGTTTCGACTCGTGCAAATCTCAAATTCTTGTAATGCAATCGTTTGAGATTCGAAGGATGGACCTTCGAGCCGAAACGTCGCCTAGATCATTTTTGCAAGCAGCACTCCAATATCGATACTTATGAGGAAAATAAAAGATAGCATAGTGCTCAGAATAAATTAAGTAAACAAGCTTTTTCAACAATTCGATTGGCTTTTTCGTGTTGTAAGACTGTCAGTGGGTATCTGGGACTACTAGAATGTGTATTTTGCTGTATTTACGGTGCTCATTATTCGTTTGTTGTGTAATTGGTCAATTTAACCTCAAATTATTACGTAACTTTAAATAAAAGTTCATCTACTTTAACGGTTTCCAACATTGTTGAGAATCTTTTTTTCCTTTTCAACAACAACTTTCGAATTGGCAAAGAAAGCTATATATTTTCATAATCATAATCTGGATGTGGATAATACAAAAGAGATAATTTGAAACATCAACATCTCTTTATATCATAAGTGAAATTCATGAGAATTACTCTAACTTGAACAGTAAATGAGAATGATTCTTGGAAATGCCTTAAACAAAAATAGAACGTACAGAGCAAGGGAAGAGAACATCTCATAAATGCAGCATCTGAGTGCAAAAATACTATTCAGACGTAAATTAGCACAACAAAACAAGTATAAAACAGTTGAGTATAGAATCTCGATTAATTCGGTCTGGTGAGAGAAGAAAGTGAGAGTATTTTGAGATGAATATATAGTGACAGTCCGAGTGATTTATGAAGTGATAAGTGGCCACTGATAAATCAAAGAAAGATGAAAAAAACGATACAGCTTCCTCAAACAGAACTGCGAAAGATCGAATAGAAAAATAATTTTGGAAATTGATCTTTTGAACAAATCAGTCAGTGAATCACTTTCTCACATCGCTTTCCGACGAGTTACGCTTTGATCTGCGGTCCAAAAGGCGTGCATCGCGTTTGGTCGATTTCATTGTTCGGAGTATTTTCTGCAGTTCGTGTACGATGCGCTCACTCATCTCTGTTGAATCCGGCTGAAATTTCTACATTACTCTGTGGCAAACAGAAACACTTACGATTAGCAAAAATGATGTATTTTGTCAGCAAACGATTATACAAAAAACGCAAAACAAATTAAAAATGAAGAAATTTCAAAAACGAATGAAGATTTGGGATAGAGAAAAGTCGTAAATTTTAAAAAATTGAAGGTAATTATGGCTGAAATTAGCCATTGATCAGTCCGTTTGGAGATGTAAGCAGATGCAACTTGAAATGAAATCAAATGAAGTTCAGAAGAGGGAAAGAGAACCTTTGCACTGAGTTTTTCGTACGCTGCTTTCAGCGTCTCTTGTGCATCATCCAATGCCAACTGAAGACGAATATTTTCATTTTTGAAAGTATCCAACTGAAATTATTTTCATTTCAATGGTATCTCCCCTAATACTCCCATTTACCTATAAATTCATATTTGATGTTTTGAATTTCTGTTTTGATTTCCCACCAACACTGATTATTTATGAATGAGACATACCGTATCAACATTGGGATCCATATTTTCTTTTTGCTCCAGCTTAGCCTGCTCGTAACGTTCGATACGATTGCATAAAGTTGTCAGAAGGCCTCGAACGTTTCGTCCTTTTTCTAACATCTCTTTCAAAATGTGCTCTCTTTCCTCAAACAAAACCATTTAGTGACGATCGAGTTGATTAATTGCAACAATGATAAATCACTCGGTATGATACTGTAAAGAAATTCATCCGCAAATTACCTTCAGAGGTTTGTTTTCAATAAGTTTCTTGACAGCTTGTACAATCCAGTTGCTTGAAAGTAACGTTTCGTTGAAATCGCTTTCACTCAATTCAACTCGGAATGCCGATACTGAAACAATAATTTTGTTCACTTTTTCTTACAAAAACAATGCAGGTGAGCAAACAGGTTAACTGTTCACTTTAATGGATACACGTGTTCTTTGAATATGAAAAGAGAACGACGACACTAACAACTATTGAAAATAACGCTTGAAGCCTTTTTACAACGATTTCGATCCCGAGTAAATATCTTTCAGCAGTGTCATATTTAGGAAAAGGTAAACTGATTGTGAGTAAAATTTACAAGTGAAGGAGATGTGAGTAAAAAATAGCTGTATGGAAAAATAAAGAAAACTAACTATGTTCGTCACTAATTGAGGTTTTATTAGATTCTGGAGACTTAACTGGTGGATGTTCGACCGACTGTGATTCTTTCTTATTCGCTGAAGGCGGATTGGATGATGCTCTGTAATTATTATCATTGTTGTGATTATCGTTGTCAGTGATACCATCATCACAGCATTATAACAAACGTGCGACACAAACTGAATGCAGAAAACGATTCAACATTCAGAAAGTTTTCTGCATTCAGAAAACTGAATACAGAGAACAAAACGACGATTTAAACTTTCTTCGCATTCATTCTTTTCTCGTTCTCAGCTATCCAATTAAACCGAGCGATTTTTGACTGATGAACGATTGAAACAGGAAATAATAATGTGCAATAATAATTCTACAAAAGTTTCATGCCTAATAAACTGATCGTTTTGTTGTTCGTTATTCACCAACATCATTTCGATCTGTTGATCTTTGGTGTTGATCCGATCTTTTAATTGATCAATTTGCTCATCGATTTTTTCGTGAATTCGAAGTAACTTTTTGTACAATTGATTGAGGTCAGCTGGTGAGAATGATGTCCTTGAAAACAGGATTAATTGTTGGTGACTCTGATAACGAATTACTTTCAGATAACGACAAAAATGAATAAATGATAGTCTTTATAAACAAAATCATTGATTTATGTTCTATATAAATTGCACTTCATTGAGAACCACTCACTTGGATGCTTTCTGTGGAGTTTTATTCCATTTTCTGATGAATTCGTACACTTTGGTGGCGAACTCTTCATACGCTTTAAGCTGTTTTTCAATTTCGGTGATCTCCGATGCACTTAATGAAGTGCAACTTCCAATGGTCTTGAAACAACGTGATTCATTTGAATGCGTAAGAAATAAGTGAAATGACAACTCCGGAAACGAATATTCACCAACGGAACAACAAATGGATCGATGCATCTCAGAAGATTACCGTAGCATAACAACGAATAAGATAACAGCGCTGGGTAATCACACATCAAACGACTTTTACAAGCAATAAAAACTTACTATTCGATGAAACCAAAAGGGTAGCTGGTATTCATTTTGATCTTAACATAATTCGAGTAAAATATCTGAACAATCCAATGACTGATTTACCGTAGTGAAACAGGTGCGTTGTTGAGTCTGTTTGGAGAACTCTTTCAAATTTTTGCTTGCAACCGATCCGCCATCACTTTCGGCTACCGTTGCACACATTGCGTTGAACTAAAATCGTTAGCACTCTTGTCGGATCCCATTTTGTTATTTTCAAGTGTTTTCCTTCACATTTAAGACACATTTCAGTGGAAGTTTTTCAACACAAACAACATCTGATGTTTTGAGACTGATCCATTTTTCCTCCGATGGATCAATAAATGTTTAATAATCGAGAATAAACTAAAACACAACAAAAAATGGAAAATAACAAAACAAATGATACGATAACGAACATTCTCTTTGAGAGCCGTGTTTTCGTTCTCAAGTTTCTTAACATTTGCTTCAAGAGCACCAATTGCCGTAGCTCTTAAATCGCTCTGTGTACGTTTTGACTGAACTGGTGGGGCAGTGCGCTTTTCGAGTAACTTCTCCAACGTTTTGATTTGTTGCTGGAATATTTGTGATTTATTGCTCAGCTCTTCACTCACTTATGGCATTGTTGCAATGACTATTACACTGAATATTCCGAAGCAGTAATATTCAGTGTAATTTTAGTCATTGTTGCAATGACTAATATTGCACTGAATATTACGTTTCAAAACGCATGGATGAGAATATGGACGTTCAGTTTCTCAGATCTGAAAAATGAATGAAACAACTAGCCGAAGCAGCGTTTAACTCCTCAACCAAATCACGATATTTGTTTTCGGTGATATTGCGATCCTTCCTCGACATGTCCAGCTCAGCACGAACGCGATCCAACTCTCCAACCAAACAATTCAAATGACTACTGATGAGAGAAATCTGTTAAATGAAATATTTCACCACAATATTCAACTGCGAAAACATTCAATTGCGCAACTAAGATATCCACAAGAAGACATTCTCCAAATTATCAGTGATAGGTAACAAATAAACGAACCCCTTTCTCGTCATTCATCTAACTCTCGTATAGCCGCGAGTTTTCATTGAAGCTTTCGCTACAGTAAACTACAGAATAATCTTATATCAAATTCTTAGGCCTCGGGAAAAGTCCATGCCGAAGTTGAGCTTATCTGCTATTACTATGTCGATATTTGCAAAATTTTTCAAAATTTGTAAGATAAGAACGAGACATGCAAATAACCTGCGGAAAGTGTTCAGTTGCTGTCGCCTGTACGTCTTCGGATGCGTGATCTTTATTAGATTCAGCATTCTCTTGAGTTTTTCGAAGACGCTTGGTTGTTTTTGAGGTGAACGACGTAACCAAATGATTGGTCTTTTGCTCTAACAACGCCAACTCCTCAAATTGTTAAATCTCATGAATCTGTGCACAAAATGTTTGAGATAAACAAAACAATAAAAATCCAAAAGGATCGATTTCGCAATTGTTTCTCATATACATGGCAAGTTCACTGTTGGGTCCTCAGTCCTGGATTCGTAAGAATCACTTCACGATCTATTTCAACATATTAGATTTAAATAATGTGTGCACGCGAATGAATTACCCACTTCAGGCCATCAGACCAACACAAAACTAAAGAAACTTAGGGGAAAGTATCGCGAATCACGTTCTGAAATTTTCAACGCTAACGCTTCGATAGTCTTTCCAATATTAATTTGATCAAATTGTGAGTGATCTTCTCTCTCAGACAATGAAATGAAATTTACCATTTCATAACGATTCATTTCTTCTTCTTTTGATTTCAACTTTGCGACATTCTTCTCCAGTTCGACGTTTCTGCTCTGAAAGAAACGATTCGCAAATGAATCTCAGATTATTGTCACTAATCAAGAAGCAATAAACAAGCAAAAATAAGTAACGTACACATAATGACTTCTGACTGTCCTCAAGATGCTTCTCGAGCAATCGAATTTGCTCACACGACTGCTGTAATTCCCGTTCTGCATCAACACATCGATTCTCTAGGTCATTCACTTGATATTCGAATTCTTTTATGCGCGTTGTATGTTCGACTTCCTGCGCCGATATCACCTCTTGTAACTCGTTCATTTTTCGTTCCAATTCTTCTTTGCTGCTTCGCTCTTCTGCAAATTTCTGTGCTTATTATTTGTACAAAAACGAAATGTTAACAGAAATATTGCATTGATACTTTTCGAAATTCCAAAAGAAATTTTAGTGGATTGCTCGATCGAAGCTGAATGAGTGAATCCATAAAATTATGGTTTTATGTGAGCACTTGTTCGATCACGATAAATTGTTTTGAAATCCTTTGAAGAATATACCTTCCAAATTTTGAATCAATTTTGTCCGATCGTTTTCGAGTGTTGCGATTTCTGATCTTAATCCATCCATTTCCGATTCGTTCCCCTTGAGCTTTGACTGTAAATGCATCAGTTCCGCTTGCGTTTCTTCAACCATTCTCTGCATATTCCTTTTCTAAAATATCAACATTCAACTAAATCGATAAGTCGATTACTCAAACGAAATAGAATAGCATTCATGTGTTCGTAAACTCAGCTATTCCTGTTTCGATTAGCGAAGACAACGGTTTTAAATCGTAAGCACCACAAAACCATTGAACACAACTGCATATTTCTTTTTTCAATTCGACTCGAACATTTTTCTGAATGCTTCGATGTGCACGACAATAAAATTATCCCCACTATACCTCTTGATCACTGCTCACGTCAACCGCCAAAGTCGATACGTTTATCATTGAAATTTCAATCGATTTGCTTAAAACATCCTTGAATTCATCGATACCACGTTTCGCCTCTGCAAAGCAGTTTGTTTTTCGGTTAGATGACTATAAAGTTGCAAAGTGAAGAACACTATTCAAATATTTTCTCAACCCAACCCCAACTTTCTTCTGAAATGTGTTGTGAAGAAATAAGCAACTGAAGTTCCTTTTGGATACCTCAAAAAAAAAAGTTTCCACCAAACAACTTACCCTCAACTCCTTTGAGAAGTTCGCTTGCTTCCATTTCCGACTGATCAAAATCGAGACGCATCGCATGGATTTCATCAATTAGAGCTTGTCCTTTCTCACTATTACCGAGTTGGTCCAACAAAGACTAAAAACAATTTTAAGTCATCACCTCAGAGAGTCGAATTTAATTCATTCCAACTACGCGACAACTCCTTGAATTTGTGCATCTTCAAAGGCATAATAACAATAAACTAATGGATGTTTCTGGAAAGAATGCTCACCTGAAGGAAATCAGCACAACCGCGCAGTTTTTCGAAGAGTCGATAGCAAATTTTGTGTAGTTGTGATATTTTTGTGCCAACGGTATCGAGATGTTGTACGGCAACAAGTGAACAATCATAAAGACCTGCCATCGACGCCATTTCTGACTGAAATGAACATATTTCAGTCGAATAGCTGATCAGTTCATGACCAGTGCGGGGTGGACATTAGAAGATCGTGTTAGATACACTTGCAATTTCAATCAAACAGAAGATGGTGGTCATCACCATAACTGTTTGTTCATGATGACCTTCATCGACCATCACCTAATGATACTTCAAACATGTGATCAACGTCACTTCAGCTGTATAATCAACCCAAACAGGTTGGATGCTCAAAGAAGTATGAAACTAACAACGTTCGGATTCATCATTGAATTTGTTCGTATTTCATCCTCTCTGATACTGCTCTCCTTATGGAACGATACACCAACACTGATTTCTTTATGTTTCAGATTCATCATATCGGTAAACGATTGACTCGTGGGCAGTTGCTGATTTCTAGCCAGTTCCTTGTTTATTTCGGAATTCTGAACAAAAGACTTCAGAGATCAATTATTGCTACTGATGAGTAGAATAGATGCTGAACAATGAACAAGTTCTGAACAATGAGTAGATGCTATTTCAATTATTACTGCTATCATATTCATTATAATACCGCAGCTATTGCTATTATTACTTTAATTACCACTGCGTGTGATGAACAAACACGTGAACTCACTTCGGCACGCAAACGTTCCGCGTCCCATATCGAGCTCTGATCAATTTCTTCGCTCGCACTCATTCCACCATCCTCATTGTTCATCTCAGAGTCACCATTTCTCGTATTTCTGCCCGTTGAGTTCATCTATAAGAAAATACCAAATGCTTTCTGTCAAACTTCTCAGTTTAGAGAATGATCTTATGATGATGTTATATTTAAGACGGATTTTTTATAACAGAGTTAGCATAAGCTATAAATCTCAGGTGATCAATAAGCAAATTCCGATCGAACCAAAAACCAGATTAAAAAGTGCAACAAACCATTAAAAGCGAATTTGTTTGCTCCAGTTTTCTTAATAATGAATTAATCGCTTTATCACGTTTATCTATATCGCTCTTCCATTTTTTCATCTCACCTTCCCATTTGCTCTCAACGAGCTTTTTTTCCTTAAAATCATACATTTCAATCCAAGTCATCAACACAACAATTCGAGCGTTTTACAACAATCTAAAATCAAGTTCTCTAGTTAGTTCGATGGCATGCAACAATTCAAAGGGTCGATTCAACGAATGAAATTACCAGTTTGAAATTCAATTCCACTTGACTTTAAAAATCATATTTCAGATGCTGAACTTCAGTTACTCAGTAGTTCACATTAATGTTTGAAGTGATAATCATTTACCTCAGTTAGCTGATCGTATTGAATTTGAAGATTGGCCAGGCTCCTCTCTGCAGAAATTCTCAATTCTTTTTCCTCATTCAATTTCTTTTTACTACTCTCAATTTCAGCTATCAATGAGTCAACTTTATCACGTAAACCACTCTCCTTAACGGTCATTTCCAGTAATGTGCCTTTGAGATCTTCAATCACCCTGCAAAACATTCGACTTAATGAGACTGACTTTTTGACCGCATTCAGTTAGCATTTCATTAACAAGTCAAACGACAATTCACTTATCGCCGTCAACAATTGAGTCGTTTCATTCTCAATGATATCACAACCGATAACTGAAGCCTTTCAGTCCCGACATTTCAATTCACTTAACAGCAACGAATAAATCAATCAGCATTAACTCGATTCAACAAAAAGGCTTACTTGTCCCTGGTTGACATTATCGATAGATTTTCCAGCGTGCTGTCACCTTGTTCATCACTTGAAACGCAGTGCTGAATTGCGTTCGATTGAAGCGCTGATAGCTCTACTTGCAACTTGTTCGTCAGACGTGTACTTGCGAACAGTTCACGACGTTCCTTCATGTTAATATTATTACTAATACTTTCATCACTGAATTATAACATCAACTTGCTTACTTACAACGATGTGCATGCTAACGATGAATATCTACGAATGAATTTATTGAAATAAGTAAACAATCGAATGAATGATAAAACATGATAACATTTTGATAATATGAATGGATGCCTAATATCTTTTCTTATCATCAGCAGAAGAAATACGAACCTTTTATAACAAAAAAAATTTTCCTACGCATGTTCAGTACTACTGAATGTTCGATGTTCAGATATTTAGTTAGCGATTTCTCGTTTAGCATAAAAACCTGACAAAATAACCAACTTTGGCCAATTCTTCACTGAGTGAGTCGCGTTCCTCGATTGCATTCTTCCAACGACAATTCAACTCCTCCCGATCCTGTTCGAATTTCCTCTTCTGATCGTTCATCTCCATTTTCATGGTTCTCAACTCCTCCTCCAACACCATACGTCGTGTTTCAGCGTTAAATATCTTATCGCGACATTCAATGTACTAAAATCAATTTTAGAACCATTAATCAACTTCAATAAACTATAATGCATCTTCTCGTAAAGTTGACAATAATATTTGTGGTAATTCACAGGATCGACAGCAACATATGACCATTTGAATATGCAATACGGAACACTGAACATCCCAGTTCCCTTCAGTCAAAATTATCATAGCAAGAATAGATGCAAATCAATGCATCAATACACTTGATGATATAATTCTGATAATTCAATTCGAATACACCATTTTAAAATAACAATGCATTTCACTAACCTCAGCAATGATGTCCTTCCCATCTGCATCAATTACGTTCGGTAATTCACGCTTCAGAATGAAAATTTCTTTCTTCAGTTCAAAATTTTCATCTTTCACTCTTTGCAGTTCTTCGTTTGCTTCGCTCATATTCACAAATTTATTGCGCGATATTTTGGCAGCTTCTTAAAAACAAATGACTGAGTACGCATTTCCTTGTAGTTTATTTTCTTTCATTCGTTATGACGTCCAACACCGGTAATACATAAATTTGACATTTTATTGATCAGCTGCCCGTTTATATTCGACAACAATACTGTTGCAAGTAACTAGGGAGTCAAACGAAAACACAATTTAGTTTACCTTGAAATGCATTCTGTGGAGTGGTTACCTTATTGTTAGAAGATGGTGTTACCTGTGTTGAAGTCGGATCACTGAAATTTGCAAATGAATGTTTTCCTATATGAAAACAAATATGCTAATTAACTTATATTGTAGATTCCTCTGTAGCTTAATGATCATGAAACTATTGTATTTTCACGCGTTGTATTACAAAGCAAAATTGGATAAATAGTGATCATGAAACTATTTCTAAACGATCTGTTATGTAAGAAAATGCCAACGTTATTTGAAAAGTGATGAATGCTAGGGTTAGCATTCATTTATGATAAAAACAACGGTTCAGCTGGCAAACAACCCACAGTCGTGAGGTTTAATTTCGGTTTTTAAATATTCGAAAAATTAGTAAGAATTATACCCTTGTTGAATTGTACTCGTCAGTGAATTAGTATTGGTGACTGGAGAGTTAACAAGTGAAACTGCTTTCTGAAAGAATTCCATCCGGTATAAACCACAAGTTACTGGTTATGAGTAATCCTTTTACTTTAAGTTCGATTCTTCATCAAATATTGTTATGAAAGTTTCAAAGATTGCAGATATCAGTTGTTGAAAGTGAGCGATTCAAGCTATAAAAGTCAAATCTCATTCGTCAGCTAAACTGCGAAGTGTCAAAATCAAACAGATAATTAAATTGCTCGGAGAGTATACGTACAGCGATTTGAACAAAAACCTATTTGCACAGAGAAATATTTGAAGATGAATCGGATAAACAATTCCGTTGGTATTTGATATCCGTGCAATCAACTTCCGATATTCAGAAATCAAATGTTTTCTGAATTCATCAAATGCAAAAGACAACCTCTTCGAAATGTTTCTCAAGCATTTGCTTCGCCTCGGGCGCCAATGATTCTTGGCTGTTATCTTGATTGACACCTGATGACAGTTCCACGAAACTTTGTGAAGACTCAGCCATCTTTAGACGACGAAATCGGTTTTCTGAAATTACTTTTATATGCAACATCACCGAAACAATACCCACATGGTCACCGACATCCCTAATAATAATGAATGAAACGAAATCGACTGAAACGCGGACACCTAAATGAACACAATTGTTTACAGATTGTTCTTCAGAGGAGTTTTGAAAAATGAACCGACTTCGAACTTATCATTTATACACAATGCAAAAAGAACGGATTTCCAATTCCAATAGATTTCCAATATTAAAGGCAATTTGAATTTCTCATTTTAGCGCTCTAATTTTGAAAGAATAATGAACAATCGCACACATTGCGAAAGCTGGTTGGAGAGTCAGAGGTTGTACTGCTTGTTTGTCGGAAGGAAATGACTACAATGCAAGACGTGCGATGGGGTGAACATTTACGAGATATATATGGGACAGATATACATCTCAAAACTCGATCACGAATCTACATAAAAACAATTATATTCTGATTAATTCAACTGCACACAACAGATCTCAACCTCAAGCTAATTTGGAGCAACTAAGAACAATATTTCACAACTCAGCGTTATAAACTAGGCGATCCAGATGCTAGAGTGTATGAATGAGAAATAATTTAAGCCTACTTATAAAAAATACCTGGAATTTTACAAAAACACTCATTAAACAGACTGTGAACTGAACGTTAAAATAAAATTTACAATCGTAGTGATTCCTTACATAAAGCGGTTCATATTGCGTTAATCATCATTAAATTTGGACTGCTTAACAAACACAACATGTGAAACAATACTTATCGTGACACATGCAAAATTAACTCATAATCACCGCTAATTAATTAAAAAATTACAATCAAAATACGGATGAACTGCCCACGCACCGCAACTCGCAACGGCGCGCCTCCGCTCATCGCCAATAACGGGCTGGCACACGGATTCACCGAATGAAAAGTCCGAAAAATGAGGGGTGGGCAAAATATTTTCACGATGCGATCCCGTCACCGATTTTGCGCTCAAACTCGATCAGCACTGAATGATTTTGGATTTCGATTTCAGGTTGAGTTTGGGACCCAAACCTGGATATTTATGATGGTAACATTGACGATTTGGTGGATTTTCGACAGAGTTATAGGCAAAAAACTGTCAAAATTTTGCACCCAATTCGAAAGTGCGCTTAAAGTTCTCACAGCGAATGCAAATACCGCGAAATTAAATATTGGCGTTCATCGTGTTCTTCGCAATATCTGTATATCTGCACAGTTATAATTTTTAAAGTGTCACAAATTTGGTATCAATCGAATTCATTTTTAAAGTATCACAAATTTGGTATCAATCGAAGCGGGCTAAGGTACTGTATGCAATTATGTACAAAGAACTTTCTATCTACTATATTTTCCATGTTGTATCAATCCTCCTTTCACATGCACTTCTTCATTCAAGCTGATCATAATGCCAATTGAGAGTATCTTGCAAAAATAATCAGATATCATTACTCGGAATAAACTATATCTCATGCTTTAGTCTCCAGCAAAGACAAAAGTTCCAAATCCAGTCTTGCTTTTAATGATACAATTTCAAATAGTTGATCAGAGATCAAAACTGTTTACATTGATATGTTCTCAATGCAGCAGAATTTCGCAATAGGCTTCTGCATGCATGATGTCAAAAAGCGTCAATCCATGTTCCATACTTACAATGCTTTAAACACGCACGTTTACACCTACGCACGCTCGCATCTGAAGCATGATACTCAACATTCCCAAAGCCTCTGCGTCTCTACTCTCTACTATATTCCCGTTTTATTTTTTTTCTTACTAGTCATCGCAATTCTATTTCGATAATTTTCGGCTTGATGACGAAAGCAAACACCCCACCTCTCCACCGATTTTTAGCCACCATGATGGCTTAAATTACATTCAATTAATTTACAATGACTGTACGACAGCTTGCTTTTTTTGATATTCATTTAATCACTATACCCAATTTTTTTCAATTTCGACCATTAGCCGGAGGAAACCGAATTTTTCCTGAACTCTGTTCGATGCAAAATTTTTTCCTCCATTGATGTCGGAATTCACTCGCTGGTAGTGTGGCGTAATAATATGTATACGCTCTGTTGATCTGATCATAAGTATGCACTCTATGATCGGTCAGTGATATTTTATCGATATGTCAATGGTACCATACCAATTGATCAACACTGCAACTGTTTCGCGCATAACATTTATATTTTCATTCAGTCATCGTTCAACTCAGTCGTATTGTTTTGTGCGATGATTTGCTGTTGCGTGTGTGATGTAATACATGATTTTATTCGTGAACACTTTTTCTGGTATAATTCATCTCGCCCCAGAGATATTCTGAGTTCGAATATTCACCTAATTTTTCAACTTTATTAGTATCATAGTGTTTCTTATTAAAGGTGATATCTTATTAAATCATCACCATCGCTATATTTGTTTAGAACGTTGATAGCGTGTGCGAATAATTTATTAATGAGAAATGTGTTATCAATAAGAATCGTATTGAACTGCATATGATGAGGACTGCGAATTAGTCACTTAATATCGTTTTAGACGTGCACAACTATGAAGGTGAGCGAGTGAGCAAACGGATTACGGTAATCGTCATCGATAGCAGGCTTATCATGATTGGTTGTATTTATTGGCAACGAACTACGGTAACTTCAAGAAGGTGGGGAATTGGATTATATTTGTGATGTTTTAATTTGTTATTTGATGCTTTGAAATGACTTTAAGGTCAATCAGCCTTGCTAAATTGCCCGATCTAACATGAATCTAGCTTATATTCAGTGAGTATGGTGTATCGCATGAATATTCAGTAGTAGGTGTGTTGATATAGACTATCGAATAGCTTGTCGAAATGATGCATGATCTTGTTATCATTATAGAGTAGTTCAGTTCTAGATGGAACGTCTGTGGAGTTTGTTGACGATAACTTCGATGGACATTAGGACACGAAGGTCGATGGTCGATGGCGGTCAGATGGCGTTTGATGGTGGTGGTATTAACAACAGTGACAGTAGGACGACGTCAAGGTGCGTGATATCCAATCCAACATCAGCATCTATTCCGAATACGACATCAACACATATCGAATACGACTCCAAGGTGCAAGGAAGCGCAGGGTTAGGAGTTTCAGTTTTGAACTTAGGGATAGCAAAATAAAATTGAGTTGTGGTCAGTGACTACTTTTTGAATGCTTAATTCTTTCACTGGTTCGTTCAATTGTAAATTATATGTTTGTGAATTATATGCTTGTTTAGGTTATCAGTTACTTGTAATTCATATTTTGTTTGTATCCGCCCATTGAGATAGGGGACAATACAGTGACCTATAGTGTCATGCATTCTATATTGATATGAAACAGTATTTTATGTCGAAGTGTGTTATGCTATACTGAAGATATTCATGCTGCCTCGTAGCTTTCAGCTGGGGGGTTTTATAGTGACTTTCAATTCAGCTGTTAATATAACTGCGTTGTATTGTTGTTACTAGTGTTCATTGTAATATATTTCGGTCATTGTATTGTCACATGATGAGAAGTTTAGGGGCATTAAACTATCGATATCAATCATTTCTTGAAGACATCCACATATTTCTGGTACCTTTTAGGATGGGGTCTGGACGGGACAGTGGTCTTCTCTAAATGTTCCAGACCTATTGAATTTTATCTTCTATTTATTCTTTAATATTGTAAATTGATTGATTGTTATACATATTATTATGATGTTTATTGTCAACAGTTGTCGTGAATGTTTTCATTGTTTATTTATTTATTCATTCATTCATCTTGTACATCGATTGCTATTATCAATAATCTTTTTGTAAGGGATGTTGGTAGGGCAAAGGAGGGATGCGGCACGTAATGACCCGCTTAACTCCGGAGCCAGAGGTAGGGACTTGGACTGGCCCTATATATGGCCCATCCCGCGTAATTGAAATTTTTTTTCAGTTTGTGCACCCGATCATTCCTCTCCCCTCCTTTCTCACAATGTGGACTCTATTATGTGAACCCGTGTTGGACTCTAACGAGAGTAGGATCTTCTGATATTTAGTGAGGCAGTTATCGCAGTTTTCACTTAATTTGACTTAACTTAGTCCTAATTGGCACAAAATTGATTTGGCTTGGCTTGACTATTAAAGCTCACTGATTGTGAGTCAAAAATTTGAAACTACATGAATGCAACTTTACCATTAGTTGACGTACCGCTTAGTGGTATGGCATTGCTTGCGATTAACTGACCTCGATTTGAATTTGAGATTGAGCTTCCTTAAATACATTCAACTTGACTTGGACTTGAACTGACCTGACCAAACTTAGGCGTGCTATTCACAGAAGTATTTACTTATCTATGCACAACCTAACATTCATATGAGAAATCCTAAACCTAATAAATTCTTAGCTGAGGAACAGGCTCTCGGATTTCTTCGATCGTTAGAGTTAGAGGTATTGCATAAGAGAATACTTATTTAGTTTGTTGCGGCAGGAACTGTAGCAGGTGTTGA